CGACTTAGATATCTTTCTGAAGCATCTAGTATGCCTACTATGCAATATGGTTGCCCAAATTATATTGCTTCTGTAGGGAACCTTTTGATAATTCATTTACCAATTGAATGGACCATCTGGACAATTCATATATAACTTTATTTTAAATGCATAACTGAATAAGGAAGCAATTTATATATATGAATTAAAGAAACTCTTTCTTCTATTATTTATGATATATTAATACAAGACAAAATGCTCTGAAACCGACAAACGAATTATTTCTAAGGCATACACTAACATACACTTAAAAAGAATTTGGCGTTATCCTTGCAAAAGTCATATGCCCTCAAGCAAGGAAGCGAGATATACTTGTTGACATTGCGCTCCCTATCGGAAAGGTCGTTGAAGCACTAAAGCCTCTATAAGCTCGCAATGGGGAGAAAATTCAGCTCGACATTAACTGCAAAGTGAAGAAGTTTAGTTAGTTCAACCATCAAGCTTGAAAACGATCTTCGCCACATTAGGGGTTGAAGTCTACTAGATCGTAAAAGAAAAACCGAGAGTCCTAATATAGGACCTTCTTTGGAATATTGACCAGGCCGTTGAAACGTACCTTTCTTGCCTTGGAGAGTTAGTACGTCTGGTCTTGACCTTTCTTTAATCTACACAAACGGACGAGCTCCTCAACAGATGCTCGCAACTTGGCAATCATGTATGCTATATACAAACCTATGATTATGACATATAAGTTCATGGATAGCTGGAGAGGGATGATGTCGAGTCGTCTCAAAACGCTATCGATGAAGTAGTGGGGGAATAGACATCCCACATCTCGAAAGGGTCTTAGAGATTGCCACCTATCCTGGGAAAAGTCTCCCGATTGAGTTGAGGCGCATAAGTCTCCTTTATGTGCCTAAAATCCTCGACATCAATCAAGGATTGCGGTTTCTTCTACGACCTATGAACTAGATCGCCTTGACTGAGCCAACTCCACAAAAGTGTGATTGGACGAGTGCGCCACGCTAGGATCCGAGTCTCTGCGTGACGACCTCTTTAGAAACCTCAAGGATAAGCCTAAGGATGCCAAGCCCATAGGGGAATCAAACGTGTGATCAATCCTATGGTTGATAGATGAAGACATGACTATAACTCACATCTAGTTACCTGAAACAGAAGTGAACATATGTCGGAGCTCAAAAAACTTGGCGACCTATCATATTTTGCTTTCGTTCAAGCACCTAAGATAGCTCGAGTCAAACAACAAACGCATGTGACCTACCAAGGATTCCTGCGACTACCATGATAAGCCCTCTTTAAACCCAAGACCACTAAAAACACATTAAAAACTCTAATAAGCCTAAAGACTCAATGTGGCCACGACAATGGTCATCCTCAGCCGCGAAATCAAGAAAACAACTAAGAAAGGGAAAAGAAACCTTACGAGAACGAGAGAATATGATGAACTTGCCAGTGAACAAAGTAGTAGTGATGGAATGAGCAAGAACTTCTGAGAGGTTTTTGCGAGGTGAGTAAGCTTTATGACGAGTTCGTCCGCTTTTATAGTGGTTTGCATGGGAGTGAAAGGGTAGGGCTCGATCATAGCTATCGATCTACAGTGAATCTCGACCCTCCATTCATTGAGCAATTTCAGCCCTTGGACATGGCCGCGTGTCAATCATCCGCAAGGGGTGATGAACTGTTAGATGCCATAATCATAACTGTTGCCACACGTAGCCTCAACTCTATGCGTGGATAGCTATAGTTGCCCATGTGCGACAAAAGTAACTGCCAAAGGTTGCCACATTTAATGCGACATGACCACGTGGAATTTACACAACTATCCATTCTTTTCAATTCTGAGTTTGTCAGAATTTCCCAGAAGAGAAAGTTTAGAGTAGATGCCCTAGAGCCAATCAATTATTGTAAAATTGACTCTTTGTAATAATGTTCATTAATCAATAAAGGTATTTTATCTATATCGTGAATCATTATTATTGCAATATGTATTGATATATGTCCTTAGAATGGTAGAACCGTGACAAGGGTGTCAAGTGTTAAATCTTGATAGTGAGAACCTTATGAGCACATATGGTGGCCATTCAGAAACATCCATAGCCTCAGTATTATTCTGAAGTAAGGGCACAGATAATATGGTAAGGCAATCATAGTGTTGAACGGCCCTGTCGAAAGGCAGTGACTGATCTCACTTGTCAAGGTTGTTTGGTGACAACCTGGTGCAACACAGGGTGTTTGCTGTAGGCGGATACACAGCACAAAGTTCACTGGACTGACCCACCAGAGGATTCCATATGGATGGTAACCCCAGTGTCTATGGAACAAATCCTCTAACGAATGGTGGTACATAAAACTTAGACTGAGATCACCAGAGCGCCTTGTGCACCGATTGGTGCAATTGACACTAGCCTAATGTAGTTTATTCAGAGCATCAGTACGGTGGTGATTAGCTGCATCGAGGAGTGTATCAAGACTATGATGGATTGACAGAGGATTCATCACTCCCGGGTACGGGAGAAGTTATCTCACGACGCAATTCAGTAATGGCAATAACACTAAAATGTGGCCACAAGGGATTGAGTTGTTTGCTCTATCTGGATTATAATACAGGTCATTGGTCTAGAAATTGATATATAATATCGAGAGTAACCGAAGGTTGACACTATTTCTATGCCTTCGTCTCGTTGAGATAACGGATGAGAAAGGATCGAATTGTACGGTAACCATATCGTTGACAGGTAGACTACTTGGCTGAATCTGAATCTATGGGTGGCCATGATGCCTTGCTAGGGGCCAATCTTGGTCTGTGTATTAGTGAGATGATTAATTGGTGTTAATCGCGATACTATACACTACGTATGATGAGGAGCCTATGGGTCACCCACACATAGAAGTATATAAGGACTCGGGATCATTCCTTACTGAGCGATTAGCGCTCACCCTTTCATTGTTGATTGCTTTGCAGGTATACTAGAAGCGAGGGATGCTAGAGACAGCGGGACTACACGTGAGGGGAGATGATTTATTGTCATCTCGATGTTTTTATCTTGATGTAAATGATAAATATTTGTGAAATACCTTTGGAAGCTTCCACCCTACAAATATGATTTGATTGTGTAATTTCTTAAGGTTTGTAAATTATAAGTTTGGATCCTGCGTGACATTTTATATGCATGTTTTGAGACTTTATTATATTAAGTAAAGATTTGTATATAAAGAAAAATTAGTTATGGACCCATTATTTTATACTCATCTACATATATATTTTCTTATATATATTTAGTGAGTTCTATTGTTATTTTATGAGTATACTAGCTAGAGAAAGTATTACATTTTTGGTATCAGAGCAATGGTTTTGGGATTTAACAGTGTGCCTTTCCCGCCGCATTGACGCCTTGTAGTCGACTGTTTTAAGGTATTTCTTTCCTTACTTGTAGTAACTGAGTTAATTGAGTTGACTAAAAGTGTTGGTGTTATGTAGATGAGACGTAGAACTTGGGCAAACAGTAAGAAGGAAATGAGTATGGGTGAACCTTCCCACCCTTTAGAAGCTACAACCCATGTCCTTAATGAAGCGAGGATCTGTAATATTATACAACAAGTCTTGGTAGAGAATCGTATTGAGCCGATATATGGGTTGCCTAGCCAACATCAGCCATCAGAATTGAGGGGTACGACAGACCTAACAATGGCAGACAAGTGGTTTAGATCAGTGGAGTGTATGATGACACTTTCCCTATGACAGACCGAGAGAAGATTCAGTATGCAAGTTTTCTGTTTAGAGGTGATGCCCGTATATGGTAGGAATTGATGGAGGATACTCACAATATAACCTCGATGACTTGGGGAAAGTTCAGAAGATTGTTTGAGGCAGAATATAGAATAGTTGATCGAGTTCATGAAAAGATTTAGGAGTTTATCAGTTTGCAATAGGGGACTAGCTCAGTGAAACAATATTCAGTGAAATTTAATTCTATGGCAAGGTTTGCACCAGGTGTAGTGAGTACACCAGAATTGAGAAGGGATAAGTTCGTACATGGGTTGAAACCAGTGAAGCTTTGGAACGAGCCTTACGGGTAGAAATATTTGTGAATAAGCTAACCCCAGCAACTCCATCAATAGTAGCCCCTAGTGTTCCACCTCCTGCTTCATAGAGAGATCGAGCTAATGCCCCCACTAATAGAGAGGTGAGAAATAAGAAAAGATTTCAGCCCAAGAAGAATAGGAGAGATTGGCAGAATAAAAGGCCGAGAACTATTGAAGTTAGAAGTGTGGAAGAAATCATTCTGGAGAGTGTCTTAGAGATTTGGGCGAAATGTATGCTATAGTTGCCAGCAGCTAGGGCATATGATGAGAGATTGCAAAGCCCTTCCTGCACCTGCAGCGTAGACACCTAGAGGTACTAATGCTCGAGTGTTTACAGTAGCTCAGAGTGAAGCTGAAGCTAGCCCATCCACAATTACTGGTCTGTTATTATTTCACTCAGTTTTCCTTTATGCATTAATTGATTCTAGAGCCACACATTCATTTATTACACATGGGATTTTAGAGAGATTAGGTTTGAAACCTATTATAGTGGTTTGTCCATTAAGGCAGAGTTACCAGATGGTGTTGGTGTAGTAACTCAAGAGATGCTTCCAGGGGAGTCCGTAGTGATCCATGGAAGGGAGTTGCCAGTGGATTTGATAGTGTTCGATATGCCCGATTTTGATCTTATTTTGGGCATGGATTTTTGGTGTGCTGTCGTAGGCACTCAAATTCGTTTAGTGCTTCTATAGAAAGCAATTAATTGCTTTAACAATTAAAAAGGAGCTTCTATGAAATTACATATCTGAATGCTTCTCCATTTTTATCTGAATACAGTAAAATAGAAACAAAAGTAACTTTTGAAAGCTCTTGAACATTAAATTGTTAGCGAGAAATTGACTTTATAATCATCTGTAACTTGAGTTTTCTATGGGTCATTAAAATATGTTTTTTTTTTTTTTCTCTTGTTTTGATAGATTCAAACAAAGGATGGCTACTTATTGGGTCTCCAACGTGTGTCATCGAGGAATGCTAATCTAAGAGTTGGGCGAGGTCCTCCTGTTTTGCTGTTGCATGGTCTCTTTATGGTGAGCATCTCACTGTTCTCACTGTACTGCCACTACCTATATAGAGAATAGCGCCGCATTCTTGATTTCATGTTCTCATTTTTATTATATAACTTAAATGCTCAGATGGTAGGATCTTTCTCTGTGTGCCCGCTTGTCAATTTTAGCGCAAAGATATATGGTCTAAACAATAAATGCTGGAATTCCATGTAGTATATCTCTTATAGTCATGTTATAGATGTCTTTAGCAATTTCTGGATAAATTATGATACTGAGAATATGCTGTACCTTATATTTACATAAATAAATATGTTCAGCAGTTGGTTTGTTAGTTGGATAAGTTTTCAAGTATGAGATTTTCTCAATGCCATTAGGCAAAACCTGCTAATTTTTCTGAACAGGGAGGTGATGCGTGGTTTTTGGACTCTCTAGAGGAGTCATTGGGCTTCGTCCTTGCAGATCATGGTTTTGATGTATGGGTTGGAAATGTGCGTGGAACGCGTTGGAGTCATGGGCATATATCATTATCTGAGAACAACAAGGTGCTTGTAGTTTATGCTTAAAATTTCCTCATTTTCTGAAGTTTGATCATCTAGTTGTTTAGTGGTTGCCTGTATCCATAATTGAGGCCCACTTAAATTGCATATGCAGACTGGTTGGTCCTAGTTTGTCTTGTATAGTGAAGGTTGAGCTGTGGCAATGTTGAGGAGGATACAAATGGAGAATGGAGGGGGATTCAAGTTGGAATACACTCCACACATTTTTTGCTTATTTGTATGAGCATAGTAAGCACAGATTTTTCTTGCAGGATTTTTGGGATTGGAGTTGGCAGGAATTGGCTCTGTACGATGCTGCAGAAATGATACACACTGTAAATATGATCACAAGCTCAAAAATCTTCATTGTTGGACATTCACAGGTTCCAACCACTATTCTTTTCACATTAAAGTTTGCCTTCTTTAGCTCCTTGCCTCAGTATGTGCTTCTTTTATTTGCATGCTTCACAGGGAACAATCATAACTTTGGCTGCTCTCACCCAGCTGGATATAGTCAAAATGGTTGAGGCTGCTGCTCTTCTGTCGCCAATAACGTACTTAGAACATATTAGTGCTCCTCTTGTACTAAGAATGGTTGCCGTGCATCTTGATCAGGTAGTCCTTTGCTACCCTTTATCTTTGTGGAAATGATTTCTAGTGATAGAATTGATTGTAAATTCTTTCCTGCAGATGATTTTTGCTATGGGCTTACATCAAGTGAACTTTAGAAGGTTTTATTATGCTTCAAATCATTTTAAATTTCATGTTTCTAAGTGTTGGTGAACTTTTCGTTGTTTTTTTATATTAATTTTATTCTGTATTTTATCTTCAGTAATGTGTTAATCAGTCTTGTCGACTCTCTATGCGATGGCCATTTAGATTGCAATGACTTACTAACTACCATAACAGGTTCGCTAACTCTCTGTATCACTCACACACCCTCACTCATTATCTGTCTCTGATTTGTTACCGTTGGAATACTCTTCTAGTAAATAGTTTCTATTGCCTTTTCTCAAGCAACAATTTAAGGTGTTTCTTAAACACTTGACCGTTTATGATTTTTATCTATTTTAGGCTCTCAGGTTCCATGATCTGTTGGAGGATATGGCCCTATATAGACTTCAACAGCAATCCATGATTTTAGGATATGATAAGTGAATTCCAAGTTTGTTTGATCATTTTTCCCCTTAAACAAAGAAGAATCAGATCCCAAGCAGTTACAATTGAGGATTTTCCAAAGTTGAGATTCATTCTTTCTCACCTTAAGTGTCTGAGTTTGGAAGTGGTCATTGCAATTTGCAGCGAAGTGTTAGGGAGGGAAAAAAAAAGACATACAAAGTATTGAGTGAAAATTATAAGAAATTTTTCTTTGTGAAATTTAAAATAACTTGCTGAGTCATATGATTAGTGGGTATCACCTGTTCAGAAAGTTCGAAATTAGTGGGCTTACATTGTAGTTTAATTAGTGCTCATTTAAGGGCTTTATAAATGGTGATATATTCTTCTTCAACAAAATAACTGCAGTGCTCTTTGTTATGCTATTTGTAATGGACCATGCTGACGCACAATTTATTGCAGGAAAGAATTGTTGCTTCAATAACTCACGAGTGGACTTCTATCTGGAATATGAACCTCATCCTTCTTCTGCAAAAAACATGCGCCATCTGTTCCAGAGTATACTCCATACATTTCCTTCTGGGAACTCTTCTTTTCTCTTTTTATTTATTTTTATTTCACCTGCAAATCTGATTATTTTTCATGCAACAAGCTTTATAGTTGGAAGCTGCTTTCTTATTTTTGCTACAGTTATTAAACAATATTACCTGCACCTTATAGACATCCTTGTTGTTCCTCTATTTATTCTGTTTAAGGTTCAGTGAACACTTTGTAATGCATGATTCACATTCAGTTTTACAGTAGTTCAGCAAACCAACTCCTTTATCTTTTTTACTCTTATTTATTTTTTTATATTATATTTTGGGGTTTAACGTAAACAAATTCAATGGTGGCATATATCATGGTGTTCAGAAAGTGGATCCCTTTATTTCTTTTTCAAGACAATAATTAAAAATTATGTTAATTTTATTAGGACACTCAAAATCTGTTTGTGCTTTTCTTACATTTGGCAGTGATCCGTAAGGGTACTTTTTCGCTGTACAATTATGGAATCTTCAAAAACTTGAAGCTATATGGTCAGACAAAACCCCCAGCATTTGATCTTAGCCGCATTCCCAAGTCATTGCCATTATGGATGTGTTATGGTGGAAATGATGCTTTAGCAGACGTGACAGATGTACAGCATACTCTAAAGGAATTGCAGTCGACACCAGAATTGCTTTATCTCGAAAACTATGGTCACATGGACTTTATTTTGAGCATAAAAGCGAAGGAAGATTTTCACAACCATATGATTGCGTTTTTCAGGTCTTTGGGAAAGTCCAGTAGATCTCAAGTGACTGCCTTACATGATATCTGATTATAATTTTTAATGTATTCAACTGGTTATCTGTATGTATATATTGTAAAGTCACGTTTGTTCTCTTTTTAACCAATGAAGAAAAAGTTGTTTAAAAGGGCAAAAAAGTTTTAATGTTATTCCATTAATTACCTTTATTGAAGATAAAGCAAGATTATCTTCAATCTAGTCAGTTGTGCATGGCACAGAGTCTTTTCACCTTAGTTATGGCCTTTTTCTTAACCATTTTTCTAGGATGCAAGATCAAGCAAGTCATTTTGACAAGAGTGAGAAGCTTGTTTGAAGATGAACTTCCTCTGGGATTGTGGAGAAGCCACATGACGCTAAACACTGGGGGCGTGCTGAATGTGCTTCTCTTTCGGGTTTGTATTTTATTTCATCTTTTATTTTTTTTGTGATGAGGTTCCTGCTTCAAAGGATTCAAACACAGTGGGTCAATTAGCGTGTGATGAGGTCAGTTGGTACTTGGTTCTTTTGAATCCCATTGTATAACTTTGCCTCTGTCCCCATCCATTTCATGAAAGCTATTCTGTAAAATGTGCATCTTGAATCTTCATGACATTGTCTTAGCACACATGGAAACGGTAAGAGTCCAAAGCTCGATCTTTGGTCCTCCCACTTTGTACTTGCTTTAAGATATAACATTGCTAGCACAAATAAATGCAGTGCACCCCAGGAGGTTCATGCTGAGCCACTCAGTTTCATTGGCCAGCTTTCTTGCCGTTGTCAGAGATAGCTATGTTTTTTTATAGCTTTTGAATATAGAGTTCATGGTCTTTGCCGGGCTGAGATTAGTGTTTGATAAGCTGGTTTCTTTAGCCGTAGAGAAATTTCAGTTAGCTATTGAACTATTCTCGGACAATCCGTTTTTTAATATTTGAAACTGGTAGTTTTTACCTCCATTTCTAGTAGAATACCTGGGGTATGAGTTATAGAGAAGTGTGCATGAGCCTTCTAATGTCTCAAAATATAATTTTCTTTTTCTTTTTCAGAAAGAAGTGGCTTATGTCAGAAAACAAGAGAGAAGACGGAGTAGCAGTTCAATATTATGATACTGCCAAAGTGTGTCAGAGAGGAAGAGAGAAGAGAAAATGTATTTTCTGTATATATGTATAAGCCTGTACAATAGCCAATTTATACAAATTTTGTAAATGTAGAAAAGGAAATTAATAAATACAAATAAATGTAATTCATTTAATCAATCATATAAATTTATATGATTGATTGAATGCTAAAATCACTCATTGATCTCTTCCAGTAGAGATCAAGGAAAAGCTGTGCATTCCATATTTCCACACTTCTCCTCAAGCTTGTGGTTTGTAGATATCAAAAACCCCAAGCTTGCTAAGTAGATATGAATGTTGTCTGCTGCATAATGGCTTTGTGAAAAATGTCTGCTGGTTGTTCTGAAGTACAAATGTGCAAAGTCTTAATTATCCCCTCTTGTATTTTGCTTCTGACAAAGTGGCAATCAATTTCTATATGTTTCGTTCTCTCATGGAATACTGGATTTGCTGCTATGTCGTTTGCAACTTTGTTGTCACAGTATAAAAGGACAAGTTTTCTTACTTGTACCTTTAGATCCTCTAATAATCCGAGAATCCAAATGATTTCACATGTTTTTGCCATGGCTCTATACTCAGCTTCTGCTGAAGATAGAGATACTGTTGATTGTTTCGTAGTCTTCCAAGAAATAAGAGCTCCCCCTAGCTTGATATAGAAGCCTTTAAGTAATTTTCTCGTCATCGGACATGTGGCCCAGTCTGAGTCACAATGGGCTGTGATATCCAGATTCTTGTCTCGAGGAAGCAGGAGTCCCAAACCAAGACACCCTTTTAAGTATTTTAGAACCTTTATTGTTGCATCCATGTGAGATTGTTTAGGCCCATGCATGAATTGGCTAAGGACGTGAACTGCATAGCTGATGTCTGGACGAGTCATGGTGAGATAGATTAATCGCCCAACAAGTCTCTGATACTTTGTAGGGTCTTCTAGAGGTGGATCCTCTTTGGAGGATGATATCCCACTGTCATATTCCTGAGTAGTCAGTTTTGTATTCTGTTCTACTGGAATAATACTTGGCTTGCATCCTGTTAGCCTTGAATCAAAGATGAGTTCTAAGACATATTTCCATTAGCTAAGAGATATTCCCGCCGGGGATCTTCCAATTTCAATGATTAGGAAATACTTTGGTTCTCCTAGATCCTTTATTCGGAACTGTTTGTTGAGATGCTCTTTTAAGGATTTGATGTCTGCTTCATCATTTCCTGTAATAAGAATGTAATCGACATAGATTATGAGAGCAATGAAAGTTTTACCTTTGTGTCTAGTGAAAAGTGCATAGTCGTGTCTGGACTGAATAAATCTTATGCAAGTGAGAGCTTTATTGAATTTTTCATTCCATTGCATGGATGCTTGTTTTAGCCCATAGAGGGATTTTTGCAGATAACACACTGTGTTCTCCCCCTGTCAGCGAAATCCCGAAGGAAGATCCATATAAATTTCCTCATAAAGATCACCATGAAGGAAGGCGTTATGAACATCCATTTGGTGGAGAGGCCAATCACGAACAGAAGCCACTATAAGGAAAGCACGAACAGTAACATGCTTGGCAACTGGGGAGAAAGTGTCCTGATAATCAAATCCTTCACGCTAAGTATATCCCTTGGCTACCAGTCGAGCTTTATAGCGTTCAATGGAGCCATACACACGATGCTTGATTTTGTATACTCATTTACAGCCAATAGGTTTTCTATGAAAGGGGCGAGGCATTAGATCCAAGGTATGATTTTGTGTGAGAGTAGTAAGTTCAACAGCCATGGCTTGACGCTAGTGAGAGTGTTGAATAGCATCTAAGTAACTAGTGGGTTCTCGTTCGGCAGAGATGTGACTGATACAAGCTCTATGCAGAGGAGAAAGGTTATCATAACTCACATAATTGGAGGTAGGATAGATTGTACCTGAATGATCTGAAATGGTGGGACATTCAAAATCTACTGCCCAGATGGGTGGTCGAGTCTGTTGAGTACTGCAACGTATAAGAGCAATTGGAGCTGGAGCAGGGGATCTTGATGGAGAAACAAGAGAAGGATGCTGAAGTTAGGGATCTGCTAGAGAATTATCAAGTGTTGATGGAGAACTATCAGGTGTTGATGTGTCAGAGTCTGCGGTAGGAACTGTGGGTTGAGTGACCGGTGGAGTCGGTATTATTGTGAATAGAGGATCTAGAAGAGTATCTGTGGCATGGAACAACCTGTGTGGTGATGGGGAAACAGCATCTTGTGTGGCAAAAGGAAAGATGTATTCATGAAAGACAACATCTCGAGAGATCAAAAACCTTTTGTCATGTGGATCATATAATCTGCAACCTTTCTGAAGCATAGGATATCCCATAAAAATACAGCGGGTGGCCCAAGAACCAAGTTTGTCATGTGATCCAAGAGTAGCCACATAACAAAGACAACCAAAAACTCGAAGGTGGTCCAGAGTTTGTTGTTTCTTGAATAATACCTCATAAGGAGTTTTTCCATGAAGGACTCTGGTTGGCATGCGGTTGATTAGGTATGTAGCTGTGATCACACATTCACCCCAAAAGGAGACAGGCATATGGGCTTAGTGTTTGAGGGCACGAGCTACTTCGAGGAGGTGACGGTGTTTTCGTTCGACAACCCCATTTTGTTGTGGAGTGTATATGCAACAGCTTTCATGCAGGATGCCATGTGAGGAAAAGAAGGATGAACAATTATGATTAAAGAAGTCTCTAGCATTGTTGGTTCTAACCTTTGGACGGAAGTACGAAATTGGGTGGTGACCATGACTAGGAAATTTTTGATGTGGGTAAGTGTCTGGGTTTTGGATTGCATGAGGAATGTCCATGTACCCCGTGAAAAATCATCAACCATGGTAAGGAAAAATCTGGATCCATCGTGATTTGGGGTGTGGTATAGGCCCCTAATATCAAGATGGATTAGGGCAAAACGTTGGGTTGTAGTGGAGGTACTGTTTGGAAAAGTAATGCGGGCTTGTTTTGCTAAGGGACATATTGGACAATGAGGTTGAGGAATAGTTGCACTGTGACCTAATCTCTGATGAAGAATGAAAGAGTTTTTATTAATCATTGCATTACAATTGGTAATTTTATTTGTTGTAATACAAGGAGAAAGAAAATTAGAAGACTCAGCGGGTGCCCAGTAGTATAGACCTCTATCAATTTTACACAAGCCCATCAGTTTCCTAGTTGAAGGGTCCTGAAATTTACATGTGTTGGGACAAAACTCAACAGTACAACTATTATCTGAACAAAGTTTGGATACGAAGATGAGGTTAAAATCGAAAGCAGGGACACAGAGCACATTCTTAAGGAATAATTTGTCAGATAATTTGACGGTCCCCATGTGAGTGGCAGGTTATGTTTCCGTTTGGCATACGAACGGAGGTGGATGAGGTAGTAGAAATAGTATTGAAAAAGTTAGGATTACAAAAGATGTGATCACTAGCCCCTAAATCAATAATCCACATTTCAACAGTAAGTAGATTGAAGCAGTAAGAAGTACCTACATAAGATGCTGTGGGAGCATTATTCAAAAGCTAGAGCAATTGATTGTATTAGTCTGGAGTGAGAGCAGGTGCTTGGTGGTTTCCAGAAGGAATGGAGTCAACCTGAAAAGAAGAGGAATTACCATTTTTGTCCTTGTTGTTGAAATCAGGACAACCATGTAATTTCCAACAATGGTCTCGATCATGGTTTCGTCGTTTGCAGTAGTCAGAGTAAAATAGTCCCCGATTAGATCTTGAATTTCCAGACCCATTGGACCCATTTCTGGATCCATTTGACCAAGAATTAGGCCCATTTGACCAGCCTGTTGACTTGTTTGACCCATGCTGTGTTGTGGCTCGATTTGAACTGTTGGATGCGTTTAAAAACGCGATAAGCTTGTGACCGTCAGATTTAGAGATTGATTATGGGCTGTTCATCTCGGCATATAAATTTGGTTCTTTTTCCCTTTCAGTTTGCCCTAGCCGTGACTGTCCTCCATGTTCCCTTAAACCTGCAAAAGCGAGTGAGTCAGTGGATGGCCTACCAGAGTTCAACTGGCGTTGGCTCTCATCTTGCACCGCTAGTTGAAAACTCCAGCGGAGAGTGGGTGGTGGAGATGTGGCTAAGATTTGTGTCCGAAAGGCATAAAAATTTTTGTTCAATCCGAGAAGAAACTGTGATAATCGATCACGATCACGAATTCGTTGGTACTATTGAAGTGTCTCCGGTAGCCCTTCAAGCGTTTCCTCGGCAGCATCCAACTCATTCCAGACGGCAGAGAGCCGATTAAAGTAAGTTGTTACCGGATTGTTTCCTTGCTTTAGTTCAGTGAGGCGCTGCCGGAGAGTGTACATTTTTGCGAGATCTAGTTTCCCATACATTTCCCTGATGTTTACCCAAATTTCGGTGGCCATTTCTGTCGGTGGGAGTCCCGCGGCCACTTTGGTAGAGAGGCAATTGCTGATCCACGATCGGACTAGCATGTTACATCGATTCTAATAACGGTGAAGATGTGGTTGTGTTGGTGGTTGAAAGGTGCTGTCGAGAAAGGATTCCTTATCCTTTGTTATGAGAGCTCGCCGAAAATCGCGAGACCAAGAGGCATAGTTCTCGGAACCAGTGAGGGTCTGTTTGATGAGGACCAATTCTGGTCCATCGGAAACTGGTGAAAAAAGTACATTGCCTGGTTTAGGGCGACTGTTTCCAATGGCTGGGACGAGGCAAAAAGGATACAGGTAGGGCTCCATGTTTGGATCGAAACCCATTTGAGGAGATGAACCTGGGTTGTAACCCAACAGAGACTGGGTCTGGCCTAAAACTGGTTGAGGTTTGCGGGTTGTAACCCGGCATCCCATATGGGTAAAGGGCTGGGTCAGGCCTAGTTTGGGTTGTGTGGGCTTGAGTTATGGGGATAATAGGTGTGGGAATTGTATGAGTTATGGTAGGCCTAGATTGAGTGGTTGGGCTTAATGTATTGGTTGGGCCATCTGGGTTTGCTGTATTTGTTGGGTTGATTTCCATTTTGGAATTGTAATGTGGTGTTTGTTGTCTGTTTGCAGGGACAGAGAGGAAGGTGGCTCTAACCGAGTATCTGTCTTGTTTCAAGAGCAGAAAGAGAGGCTAGGCTGAATTTCTTATGCGAAAGCAAAGCTCTGATACCATGTCAGAAAACAAAAGAGAAGACAGAGTAGCAGTTCAATATTATGATACTGCCAAAGTGTGTTAGAGAGGAAGAGAGAAGAGAAAATGTATTTTCTGTATATATGTATAAGCCTGTACAATGGCCAATTTATACAAATTTTGTAAATGTAGAAAAGGAAATTAATAAATACAAATAAATGTAATTTATTCAATCAATCATATAAATTTATATGATTGATTGAAT